CTTACTGGTGTCACGGGAACAGGGAGGGGCTCTCAAACTATTTTTTTTTAAATACAGACGTGAAGCTTTGGTTTACCCTCGCTCCTTCAAATATTAAAAAACTTTATGAATTCCCACCCATATATCTATTTCACGGAATAAAATCATTACACTTTCAAATCTAGAATTATCTACTTTGAAGAGAATTTCGCATTTAAAAGCAAATCTTTAAAAGTGCATATATTTCTCAGTTGTCATATGTACAATCTGTGATATCTTAATTATACCCCACGCAACGAGTTGCGGAGGGTATAATGTTTTTAACCCGTCCGTCTGTCCGTCCGTCTGTCTGTCTGTCCGTCAGTCCGTCAGTCCTATTTCTTGTCATCGCAACTCCTCTCAAACCACACAACAGAATTTCACGAAACCTTTTTAGATAATAAGGACATACTATGTAGTTATGCATATTGACAGGAAATTACGATTCATTTTTTTTTCTAGGAGTTACGCCCCTTTGAACTTATTTGCCCAATATACTACTGCAACCTTTTGTCATCGCAACTCCTCTCAAACCACAAATTTCATGAACCTTTTCAGATAATAAGGACATACTACGTAGATGTGCATATCGACAGGAAATTACGATTCAATTTTTTTTCTAGGAGTTACGCCCCTTTGAACTTATTTGCACAATATACTACTGCAACCTTTTGTCATCGCAACTCCTCTCAAACCACAAAACAGAATTTCATGAAACCTTTTCAGATAATAAAGACATACTACGTAGATGTGCATATCGACAGGAAATTACGATTCATTTTTTTTCCAGGAGTTACGCCCCTTTTAACTTATTTGCCCAATATACTACTGCAACCTTTTGTCATCGCAACTCCTCTCAAACCACACAACAGAATTTCATGAAACTGTGTAGATAATAAGGACATACTATGTAGATGTGCATATTTACAGGAAATTATGATTCAATTTTTTTTTCTGATACAATTTTTTTTTCTTACACTTATTTTATTTCTCCAATGACAATGTGGGGACGTGGGGTATGTGAGCGCGCTCACTAAGGTTCTTTCATTACATTTAAATGTGCCAATAAAAGTTTCTGCAGATAATAAAAGTAAACCACATGAATCTGTCACACGTATTGATTAGAACGAAGAGCATGCTCAATTTGCAGACTTTTAAATGAGGAAATACTCACGATCAACTAACATATCAGTTACTATCCATAGATATAAAACCTCGGTGAAATAAAAAAATGTCCGCCCATTGATATAATTGACATAAAAAGTGACCCAACCCAGTAGCACATTTGTTTATACATTCATATAAACAGTTGGCCACTTCAAACAACAATAAATCATTAAGACAGAGATGCTCCCTCCCCTCCCACGGCCGACTTCTGGCTGATGCATAGTTTTCTTAAATAAAACTTTTAATGTAAGGTTTGGAAAATATTTAAAACGTTGTCTTCAATGATCTAGTTTGATTCAGAGTTTATTTCTTCGTATACATTATGTAACGCGTTCAAAAGTGCTTACAAAATGCATTTGCGATTGAACGAAGTTTATTCCTTTAGGTCAATCATATTTTTGTACTTGTTATCCGGACTTTTATGTACTCAAATTGGAGAGAGCGAGCGAAATTTGTATTTAATTTCACGGGATGTCCCTTAATAGCTACTGTTTTAACTTTTGAATGTTTTTTAATATGCAAGAATTAATTGGAAAAAAAAAACCAAGCAACTCTTAAGGCGCCCTGACATATATATATGATACCCCAATTGCCTATATTACATTCTCCTTAATTAAGGAAATATATAGCTCGAATCAATGTATAGTTAGATTTTGTTTTGTTTCAGATTTGTCAGTGAGTTCTGAAATGAAAATCGACGTTAAACAGGTAAGTGAATTCAAACAGAACGGTTATCAACATATTTTAAAACAATTGGTGCAGTAATATGCGGTGCTTTGCTTTTGCGCCAATTGGCATTTCAGTTGCGCCAAAAAAATCTTTCATTTGAGCCACAAACCATATTTCATTTGAGCCGAAATAAAACATTTCATTTGCGCCAATAATACAGGTAAATAACATAATATTAGATATGTTGAACAAAGAATTTTAATAAAAACCACAGTGACAGCTATATACACTGAAGCAAAGTTATAAGTCTGCTCGGACACAAAACTTGTAATACGGATTTATTCATGGAGAGAAATTTCGCCTCTTAGGCGCACTATTTTTCTGCAAAATATAGTCCATTTGGATTTCTCCCATCGTGTAACTGCATCTCATTGTTATGTACGTTGTTGCTTGAATATTCTTTACTACGTCCACATAAATGAAAATGTTGTGACGTTTTGAATAAAACTGCTAGTTAAAATGTGCATGGAGCGATTCTGGTCCATTGTTGGTTCTATTGAAATCCTCAGTTGGTGCAGACACGTGACATGTGACATGTGAACACTATACAATTTTAAACCTAAGTCACACTTAGTTTTGTATTATATGAGTATAAATTCACTTTATTACCCAGGGGAAATGCTTTACAAAATTTCCTTTTCAGGATACAATGAATATTTAAATTTTTCCGTTATATATGTTACCTGTAAAATGGCAAAAATGTAGTTTTAATTTTTGGCGCAAATGAAACATTGGATTTTGTAAAAAAAATGGCGCAAATGCAATGCGCCCGTAATATGTTATTATTTTTAGTAAGTAGAAAATGTTTGTAGTGCAAGTAACCTTATTAAAAGCAAATTAAGCCTTAATAACTTTAACAAAGTTTAACGACATTCTTTTCACTAAGTTCTTTTTTTCTTCTCTCAATTGAACTCCGCACCAGGTCTCATAACAATAGTGTATGTGTAAACTATTGTATGTCTTGTTTTGTCCTATTGTATCTGCACGTACTCAATTTTATATGCATGTCTTTAATTTATTATAATTACATAACATGTATGTTTCATTAGAATCCGTAATTTTGATTGGCTGATAACAATCGCGAGGCACTCCAATATCATATTCAAGTTATTTCCGTATAAAATACAACAGCTATGACTGCACGTGCTATCCGTGACAATGTTAAACTAATCCATCGGAAAACAAACGAAAAGCTTGATATAACTCTTAATTTCATGGGTGTAGCATAAAAATGTAATTATAAGAATTAAATGCTTCTTTTTGTATTAGATACACATATGAGGGCGTTAGCAACTTTTAAAAAAAAATTAATTTAAATATAGAACATGAATCAGATTTAATAGAATTTTTTTATTGGAGACTCAGCAACATGTCATAAGTGAACAAATCTTGTATTTAAAAAAATCACAAATAAAATGGGTTTATTTTTCACTTTTATTACTTTTTTAATTTTGTTTGTTTGTTTGTTTTTTTTTAATTTCATATTTAGAACAACAAATTTTGCAAGTATTTTACCATACAGAAGTGTATTTTTGTCTATTATTTTCAAATTTCATATTTACTTCAACATAATTTTGGAAATATTTAACTGTTGTTTCTAATTTTAAAGGAGTAATTTTAACGCTTTAAAATACTGACTGTATTTTACCTGTAATTAATTATTAATTGTTATAACAACACCCATTGTATTTTGTATGTAGGCATAGGATGAATATATATTTTTCAAATGTTGGCATAGGTTGATGACACCAAGCGTTGATCGTGCGCACATTTTTAATATGAAGCGCTTCCTACAAAATGTGCTTCGGTCAACGCTTTTACACCCCAATGAAATTATGAAAAGAAGCATTCAATTCTTAAATGTATGTCGTTTCAAAATCTCGCTCAGAGCTTATGTTGTATTGTTATTTAACTTGCCGACTTAAAATAAAACTTATTTGATTTCATAATATGTAAGTAAGATGCACATATATATTATTAGTTACACCTAGGACATAATATATTGGTTAGTATAATAGTCCAAGGCTGACCTAATACGATATATACTGGGTCAGTAAATTCAATATGGGGCGAGAGCGAGCGAATATATATCGTATTTAAAATTCACTAGCATACTTTGTAACGAATTTATCTTACCGACTATCTTAATGTGGTGAATTCAGAGGAAGTTGTAAAAGAATTATAGATATTTTTCATTTTTTGTTATAGTGATCATTATGAATCACTAAAGCAATATTTGGTGTAAGGTGGAATATAACAGGACCAAGTCTTCAATATTAAGAACCTACTTGCATTGACGTGTACAAAAACAAATGCCAACAATAACAATGTAATATCAAAGAACTTCTACATGTATTTAAAATAAACCACGCCCACAGACCGTGCCTTAACTTGATTTAAAATAAAACACGACCACTCCATTATAGTAAATGTACACGGTTTCCACGTGTTCGCTTTTAACCAATGATATTCCTAGTAGTGTAGGTAAGATAAATATATTTGTGCATAAAATATGTTAATTGACCGACCGTGCGAGGCCCTCGTGGGTTAGCCCCTCAGATATGAGACGACTACATCTGATTTACATAGAAGTAATAAATAACAATTTTATCTTTTCTATTGTTCTAAAAAGAGCAATTCGTTTTGATAAACCAGGAAAAGTGTCAATATCTCAAATTTTCCAGATGCAGTAACACTTTCAGAAGATGTTTTGTAGTTATGGATTTGGAATGAAATCTTAATTGCTTCTATTTTTCTGTCATCAAATTAATACCTTATCACTGCTTTTGTATGGCAATATGAATCGCTTTTCTATCTTTTCTTTTTCTGGTTTAATTGTCAAAATCTGCACTTTTTGCTGATAAATGATAACACTTCTATGTAAAAATAATTTACACTATGACGTTATGGTATATGCTTAATGATAGCTTTCAATAATTTAGATTTTAGAATTTACCTACAAAAACCAATTTTGTATAATACATTGTTTCAAGGAGAAACAATTTTATGATGAAAAAATATAAACCTCGATAATTTCAAAAGAAAAAATCAATCAATATAATATTAATATTGCAGTTGATATGATTCAAAAATTTTCAGTAATTGCTTTGTAGTGATGAGGCTGATCATGAGCGCCACCATCAGTTTATTGGCAGCCCTGAAATGATAGTCAATAGAGAGAGGAGAAGATTAGCCTTTGGCTGCGGAGTAATTTCTCAAAAGGTATGCATCTTGGTTTAAACCAACCAGCGTTGGCTTTTCAACTTGTTAAAACCTATGAGTGTTGAAAAATGCTGCATGCAATGACCAAATGACCAATGATCAAAGAACAAAAAAAGACCATGATGAAAATAAGAAAGGTCTTAGCTGTAAATGTTTATAGGTAAAAGGACAACCACCGCATACTGTTTACACATGCAAGGGTGACATGAGTAACTTTCTGTTTGACTGTTTTATATACAATGATAGAAACGCGAACATTCATTGAATGCATTATCCAGTCTTCAGACAGTGCAAAAACATTTCACTTTTTTTCAGTTTTCCTTTTCGACCCTTTATAATTGCCCACAGAAACTACCCAATTGATGAACTGTTAAATATGTTATCCTCTTAAATGTGGCTAAAATATTTGTCACTCGACGTAAGAAAGCAACTGCAAGTTACTTCTTGCACATAACAGGGAGATGAAAATCTGTATGATTTATTTGGCATCCATCAGATCTTAAGGTAAACCGGGTTTTCGCTGTAAAAAGTGTAATATGAAAAACACATTCAAAATTTATGGCGTTTATTTTCTTCATAATACTTCATTACTCGGGAAAGTTAAAGACCAACACTTGGAGCTGTACAAAATTGACCTAAATTCATCTAAGGGCAGCACTTCAAAATTAATGTTTCAACTTAGTTTTAAACCAAATGACCAAATTGTTAAACTTCTAAATTATAAAAAAAAATGAATATATAATAAAAAAATTGGCGTTGTTAGTGAATGTTACTCACTTTTACTGGTGATTCACCAGGTTCAGATAAAATATTTCGGTACTGTACCTAGTCTTTTAAAGGGGCATTAGCTACGATTTAGAAAAAAAATTAAAATACGATTCTTTTTGTTTCAAGTATTAATAAAAGCGGAATTTTGAAATAATATTTCATTATAAGCAGTCAGTTGGCCCGAATTTGTCAAAATAAGCTCAAAACATCGCTGATGTATTATTGATAATTCAATAATTCAACCTCATGTGAATCCGTATTCATGTGACCTTCAACTTTACCCCTTTGCTGGAGATGGGTTCCGCATGTACTAGGCGTGTTCAGCTATTAAAAAGAAAAGAATGTCAACATTGAACGTGAAACAAGGGTGAACCATTTCGTTGACTGATTCTAGCCACACAAAATTATGAGTAACATATTTTTTAACCTCTAACATGAAATCAAACAGACCTAGAAAAAATCAAATTGCACGTGCTCGCTATCTATTTATATTTATGTTTATATCGGGTAATATAACCGTCGGCAGTCTTCGGAGGTCATCTCGATGGTTAATTAGATGGAGTCTAGACTAAAATCGTACGAAATCCTGATGAATATTATCGAGTCCACGCATTGTTAATTGTTAATTTTAGACTTTTTGTAATTTGGATATACGTTTTAGTATGTTATAAATCAAATATGAGAATTTGAGTCAAATCGGTGAACATGAATTTGACAGCTCCTTTAAAGCCTGGGTTATACATTGATCGTGTTCACCAGAACAATCTACAATATATATATTTTTTTTTTTAAAGATTATTAGTGCTCTGCTCAAATATCTGACAGACAATTTGGTGTACAATCATCACGAGCCCTTCAGATTCGGCGGCAGAAGGATAAGGAAGCTGACACATATTGAACTTCAAAATATTTTCCTGGAATATAAGTTGTAAGTTTAACTAGTGCATGGCTGAAACGTCGAGTTATACCAGAAAATTATATTATTATGTCAATTAAAGGCCATGTTTTATAGATAGTTAGGTTCTTACGAATATTTTTAAGCATTATATAATAAAGAGGTACTCATATATAAATTGTCTCGTTCGTCTTGATCTTTAGCTAAAGTTATCGCTTTTCGTTGATCGTTAGACAATTTACACTGACAATTTGAACCAAACTAATGGCGGGAATAATGAATAAAAGGTCGTTCTGAAGTTTTCCTCTGTTAGTTATTATGACATAAAACACATAACCATCAGAGGCAATTTTTAATTCTAATGGGTTAATGTGGGAGCTAATACAGCAACATTCGCATTGGTGGCACATAGTTCCATTTGAAGCCATTTGAAATCACTCTATTTCTTGTATGAAATAATTTGGCCAATTTTTGGTCATTATTTTTCATCAAAATAGTTCAATTTTTATGGAAAGGAACAATTAAACAACCACAGGGTATATATATACGAAAACGTTGGACAAAGCGCCGCGAATGCAGCCTTAGATGGGCGGATATACTGACGGCATGGTATATATATATATACCCAGTCTGCTAATTAAAGTATGTTAAGTTTTGCAATACAAATGCTGTTTTCTGTTATTATTTATAAATGGTAAGTCGCAGAAGGTTATAGTTTTTTTTTCACATTTGCAAAAATGTATAAAAACGTCAATGTCTTAAACTGACTTTTCAAACAAAAAGATAGGAATTACAGTGTATAACCATTACATACTAAAGTTTAAATTCTTGTTATTTCACTTTCAGTTTTGCTGACCACTATGTGACCTTTGTTTTACATAAGGAGGCAATCATATACTTCCACCAGAGGAAGACAGGGTGTCCATATGAGTTAGCAAACCAAAAATGTATGGATGCAGAAGTGGATATGTATATTGAATGGAAAAAGAAGCATAGAAAATAACTATGAGCATTCAAATTGAATATATTACATTTTATTTTTGTTTGTTTGTATATAGTAATTATGATGGTCTTATATAACATCAATATTCAACGTTTTATGATGATATTTTTATTTTCTTATTGTTTTAAAAGCTGTAGCTTATTAGTAAAAAAAGAAATTGTAAAACAAGATAACAGCAATATTAATGAAAAGAAAAAACAAGACAACAAATGCAGAGAATTTATATGAAGTAGTGGATATAGAAAGGAAAATCAACAAGAACCTTTAATCGCAAGTTGATTATCGTTTCTGAATTGACTAAAACACGGTTTTAAATTTGGAACATAAATCAATAGAAGTATCTAAAAAGAATTTCAATTTTATTTTTTTATTCTTGAATGTGTGGGAATTAATACGGTTCACATCTATATTTAGGCATATGAAAATTAAAGAAAGTTTAATATTGTAGTTTAATATTTTTTATTATTGCTACTATTGTAGGGTACATGTATCTACGGTCAAAGCTGCTAGATATATACTATTACTAGAGACTCTGTTATATTACCAAGAAAACGCAATTATTGGCTATAATAAAAACAAAAATATTATTTTAAAACAGAAGAATTAATTATGCTTTAGTTAATGGGTGTATATAAGAATATGTATTTTTTCGATATCTTACCAACGCGGTGACGATAGGCAACATAAGTGTATGTTCAGATAGAACGATACATGTTGAATAAACGGGCGATCGAATCTTACACCGGAATATAAGTATTAGATTGTTGCTTACCCCCATACATATTATTTTAATCACAGGAAATAAAATATGTATTTTGTGTCACTTTTAGAGGTAAAAAAAATAAGGTCACGACAGTAGCTGTCATTTTAGACTTTATTGTAAAACAGCAACACCCCATAGTAACGTACTGTATTTGCTGAGGTAAAATGGTTTTGACCCGGTCGTCCGTCACTACGTTGATGTCGCCTTGATAGCAATCTGGATGAAGGTTTCCAATCATCATAACCATAGATGAGTTAGACACTCAGAAACATTTGAAATGGGCACTATTTTGAGCGGAAAAGGCTTTCAAAGTCAACCAATACTATGTTTTATCGCCACACTACCTCCTCTATTTTTGTAGGATTCTCTTTAAATTTGATTGAAGGTTTCTGGATGATTTTGATAAGAAAAATCCGAAAAGAGAGACAATTTTTCCGATATATCATGCAATATATCATGTGTTTATGTGTGAACAGCGTTGAGAATTTTATCCGTTTTCTCTTTTTTTTTCTTTTTCTTTTTTAGAAAATTTAACATGCAATAATATTTTATTTTGGTATTGCGATACGATTAATAGTACTACTTTATTTCATATGGTTAAATTGTGATTATTATCACAAGTTTGGTTTTCGAAAGGTCCATTTCCAACAGTTAACAGAGAATGTGTGTAAAATGAAATAATTAACACAAAGAACGACAACATTAAAGTAAAAAAAAACCAGCCATAATATATATATACTGTATATAAATGAACAATGTTAATTGATTGAGTTAATGTATTGCCAAGTTAATGATTACTTTTATCATATGTTTTGTTTTGTTTTAGTATATTGCAGTATTCATGTATACTCAAACTTGTCAAGAGTATTAAGCACATGACAATGTCATGTGGGTATCCAATTTGATATTTTGATATTGTAATTTGTTGGTTTTTATTAGCCTAAATGAAATGTACTAGAATTTTCTTGAGTATGTGTATTGACAAGTTTATGATTATTTTATCATATGTTTTGTGTTCTTTAGGAATATTTTAGTATTCATATATGCACACATGTTTAACTTAAACTTGGCAAGAGTATTCAGCACATGACACTGTCATGTGGGCATCAAATTTGATATTGTAGTTTGGTTTTTATTAGCCTAAATGAAATATACTAGACTTTTTTTATGAGAATATGTTGTCTATGGGCGTTGTAATTGTAGTGTAGTACAAGTGACATAAACTTCAACGTGTTGAAGGCGGTCACTACAAAGTAGAAGTAGAAGAAATATACTGAACATATTGACACATTGTGTTTGTTGCATACATATTCTATTTTACATATTTTATGAATTATGATGTTTTGATGTCAATCCTGCATTTGGATTTTATATTTAGTTTAATTGCTATGCAATGTTTTTTTTGTAAATTTTGTTGGTCTTTTCGTCGTTTTTTGTTTTTGTCGATGTCTCTTTAACTAACAAATTTTGATTGTCCCTTTGGTATCTTTCGTCTCTTTTTTTAACCGATACAGTATTTGATCTTATTTATATTGACACGAAATGCCAATAAAAGCGCAGTAAAAGTATAAATTTTATTAACACGGTTATGTTAGCAGTCATGGTCGAGTGGTCTCATTCCCGGACTTTAGACTATGATATTTCTTTAAGGAAATGCGCTTTGGAGAAGGTATATATGATAAAGCTTTGGATTCGAAAATCAAAAAAAGTATTATAAATCTATCATATAACATCATTCAGATGTTCGTAAGACAGAATTACTCCGTGAGACATCAGTATTTATATTTTGAATGTTGTCTTACATATTTGCATTAGGGCTTCAAACTTCTTACAATTGTCTCAAAATTACAAAACTGCCAAAGTGGCATCACAGTTTTGAGAATTGTCATTAATATTAAGAAAGGAGTAAAGGCTTTATCCAAAAAGATATTTTGCTAAAAGATGTATTTAATAAAGGTGTTAATGTGTAAAAAAATATCTAATCCTTATCTATTTTGTCCAAAAACTATGTTTAAAGTGGCTACCTTATATCAACATTGTCGATTTTGTCAACTTTATGACATCACAAGCAATCGTTTTGCACTAATGTGTCAGGACTATATAATTACTTGTTCATTTATCAATGAAATCAGCAAAATTATTTATTTTCGGAGAATAAGGGGGCCAAACAATCACCTGCTCTTATCACAACTGTCCTGTTAATTTAATTTATTTTTCAAAATCGCCATACATGTGCTATTCGATTCTGAGAGGTACAAACGTAAGTTATATATATACAGTAAAATTGGTAACGTTAATGTTATAATAAGTTTTATGTTCTCAACTTAGGCTAACTTCACTCGACAGGGGATTCTCGAAAAATTAATGACTCTAAAGTTAGAACAATAAGCATCTGTAAAAGAAAATCTGGAATCAAAATTTTGCAAGCGTTACCAATAATTCAACATAAATTTAATTACATTGTATATTATGATATAAGAAATCTCCAAAGTTAAGTACATGAGCAACTAAAAATAACTTAATACTAAATAATATTTTAAGTGATTTCGCTCACACTTTGAAATCGAATTGGTATTTAAAAAAAAAACACGGTAGACTTTTAAGGGTGGTAGGATAGAGAGCCAACAGAAACATTTACATAAAAAAGATTTTGCATATCTGTTGTTCTCATTTTATTGTTTTGTTGCTGGGCAAAAATAAGAGTAAACAAACAGGTCCATATGTTGCCCTCTAGATGTCTTTTGGTTATTTTTAATCGTCGGGTTGCTGTTGCATTAACTCGCATTCCCCACATCTAGATAATGATATCCAAAGTTATATTTGGCAGTTAACAGAATCCATGGTTGACATCTAAACAATAAGCGGATATTATTTGTATAAAAAAAGATGTGTTCACTTAATTTATCCATACTTGCTCTTATTGCATTTGTAGTTTGCATGGTGTAGAAGTGTCACTGTATAAAACATGTATTTCTTTATTTCAATAGATACTTGACAGATAATAAAGGCATATTTATAAATGTGCTAAAAACATGGTTTTCAAATACTTTTATTTTCTATATATTGATACCAATAATAGACACGTGAGGAAAATGATGATGGGTGACTTTATAACGTTCAGCGTTAAATTAAATTAAAAAATAAGGACATCTGGTATGATTGCTAATGAGAAAACTATCCACCAGGGACCAAATGACGTTGATGGAATCAACTATAGTTCACCGCACGCCCTTCAACAATGATCAAATCCCATACCGAATAACAAGCTATAAGAGACATGGCACAATGTAAAACAATGCAAACAAGAAAAACAACGGTCTGATTTATGATAAAACAATAAACAAAAAAAACATGACAGACAGCAACAAACGACAATGAACCACTGGATTGTTACTCCTACGTCGTTCGGGTCAAGTAGGGTTACCCGAGCCGTGCAGATTAAATGACATATACCGACTTGCTTGGTCAATAACTATTATAACGTAATCGACAAAAATATAGGAAATATATGTAGGAAAATATATATATAAAAAGGATGGCGTATAATAAATATCAAATTGTAAAAATAATTGAATAAAGCGAATCTTATTGAAAACAATGAAATTTGGTTTTGAAAAAAAAAAAGAAATCAATCAGAAACTATTTCCTGGAAAGATGTGTAAGAGGACTTAACAGCAAGAATTTTTGGTTAACATTCAAGCCATTCTCGACTAATAAAGGGTCACATTTTTCACACTTTTCTGTCAGTGTTTCGAAAATGATACATATGACAATCACCTTTATAAAAAATAGTAGAAGACTGGAAAAAAGGCTTCATATCAACATATTAAATATGTAGTGGCAATATTAATAGATTTGTCCAAGGCTTTCGATTGCCTACCCAATAACCTTCTCTTGCTAAAAATAATTTGTTTGTCTCCCCCTCATCTCTTAATCTTTAGTAAAGTTATTTAAAAAAAGAGAGGCGAAAGTTACCAAAGGGACATTCGAACTCATAAGTCGAAAATAGACTGACAACGCCATGATAAAAAAAGAAGACAAAGACCAAAATACAAACAGTATACAAAACACAGCTTTATTTTTTAACTATATAATAGAAAAAAAGTGTGTTGAAGTATGTTCTCATTCCCGTTATTGTGAATCAATGTTTAAAGGGTTGCCACAAGGATCTATAAATGGAATCCGAGCAGACCAGTATTTACTCCTTCTCCTAAATGTCGCGAACCAGTAGGCGGATCAGCGGTAATAAAAATTTTAAAGTATTTGTTTGGACCCGACTGGGGATCGAACCCATGACCTCCCGCACTCGATGAGATAAAAATGGTCTGCCTTGAAAAGGCCAATATTAAAGACACATACGGATATAATAAAATGTTGGAACATTTCTAAGGAATAGTTTGATATACGTTCTTCTTCTAAACTTCAAAGTTGTTGACACAGGTTGGTGTTTGATCAAAGCATTATTAAGTACGATACTCTTCATACTAAAAGTGTTCGTACGATCAACGCTTTTCAAAGTTAAAAGTAAAATTTATGCCTCATTGGAGGACAGTGTTAAGAGAAGTACGAGGAAATTGGAGGATTAATATACGATACAGCAAAGAAAAAGTTGATAACCATTCTTTACATCTTTCTTCCATTGTCTAAATGGGGTCTTCCGTGCAGATTACATCAGAATGTATTT